GGCATTTCCAAATTTTTCTAAACCCTTTCACTTAACCACTGACGTGTCGAATTATGCCATCGGGGCAGTCCTTTCTCAAGTAGACGCTGGCAAGGATAGGCCAATAGCGTAAATCTCTCGGTCCGTGACTCAGACGGAAGAGAACTATGCCACCAATGAAAAGAAAATGCTCGCCATAGTGTGGGCCTTAGATAATCTTCGGTCTTATTTGTATGGTGCCGGGTCCATCAAGATTTACACCGATCACCAGCCTTTAACATTTGCCCTGGGCAATATAAACTTTAACGCCAAGTTAAAACGTTGAACGTCCCGTATTGAGGAATACAATTGCGAACTAATATACAAACCAGGGAAGTCGAATATAGTGGCCGATGCACTTTCAAGGGTTACAACGTACATTAACCATCAGGGCTCTGGCACCGATACCGCCTCCGAGTCAGATTCTATAGCAACAATTCATAGCGCTCTTCAAGACGCATCTCATTTAATCCCCCACTTTGAAACTCCGATTAACGCCTACCGAAATCAATTGAATTTTCTTCCAGGCCAATCCGATTACTCATGTGAGCACCCACATGCCGGATACGTGCGCCACTCAATTCCCATTAACGACATTACCTCTTCTAAGCTTCTAGACTCACTAAAAAGTACTTGAAACCTTCAGTAATCAATGGGATTAAAATTCCGGACGATTACATACAACTCCTTCAAACCTGTTGCATTCAGAGTTTAAAATTGTTTAAAATCCGCATAACACAGCGCTTAGTTCAGGATATTTCGGACGAAGAGCAAATTTGCGAAGTCATCGAAAAAGAACATCGCAGAGCGCATAGAAACCTGAAAGAGGTCCGCATTCAGATCATTATTCGCACGCAACTGTCAACCTGTGCCACTTGTAAATTGCACAAGTATGACAGGCACCCAAATAAACCACCACTACAGCCAACTCCTATCCCTAATTACCCATGTGAAATACTTCATATCGACGTTTTCACATTGGAGAAAAAAGTATAACTCAGTTGCATCGACAAATTCTCTAAATTCTCTAAACTTTTCCCCTTACAATCGAAATCAGCAATCCATCTTCGCGAAACACTATTGGATGCACTCCATTACTTCACGGCGCCTAGAATGATAGTTACTGATAACGAAAGAGGCCTTCTATGCCCAACTGTCCTAAACTACCTTCGAACTTTGGACATTAAGCTATACCATACCCCAACTCAGAAAAGCGAAGTAAACGGTCAGGTAGAAAGATTCCATTCCACCTTCATGGAAATATATCGATGCTTAAAAGGCGAATATCCCACCTTTAAACCAAACGAGCTTATCTCAATTGTTGTAGACAGATACAATAACTCTGTCCACTCGGTGACAAATAAAAAACCCGTTGACATTTTTTCCAACCGAACTTCTAGAATAAACTATCAGGGGCTATCTAATTTTAAACAGCAAACTCTTGAGGACATTCGAGGAATCATTGAGCACAAACAAAACTTAACCAATAATGGGCGCAATAAACATAGAGGCGACCCAATTTCCTATGAACAAGGTGACACCGTTTATGTCGCCAATAAAAAGATTAAAACCAAAGAAAAGCAGCGATTCAAGGCGGAGGAGGTTGAAGATGACCGAAAGGTCACTATCAAAACAAGGTCTTGAAAAATCTTTCATAAATCCCATCTAAGAAATTAATATTTTTTTTTTGATCAAAAGTGTAGTTTATATTTTTCTCGACAGGGAAGACTGCCAACAGAATATCATAACTCCTCAAAATATTGAAATTTATCTATACAAAAGTGCGTACTGAACGTTTCACTGACTCATAACCTCCTTCATACACAAACAAACAATTAAACATTAGTATTAAACAGAAAAACTCAATAATTCAATTCTTAGTTTAGGTTAAGCAAAAACAAAAAACCTCTCATAACAGGAGAACAATTAATTAAAATGACATTGAACCACATCAAATAAAATTTTTCTAGTAATAATACAAGAAAATACCAAGAACACGAACACAAAAATTAGGCTTAAGACAGAAAAACTATTTTATTATAAGAATCTACATTTCATGTGCACGTAATCCCCTGCCGACGTTACAAGTGCGTCCACAATCTACGTGGCGACAACCCTCCACATTTTCAAATATGATGCACCGGTTGTCCCCTTGCAACAAGGTACCGTCTGGAGGACCAAGGGCGTTTTCAAACTGGCTCACGTCATCAATCTAGGCCACATGCAGCAACTCATCGACCAGGTGGCAAACGAGGCTATGGTGGTAACCGACCAACGTATCAACGCACTAGTTGGCCACTATCTGCAACACGCTTCAGAAGGAATATCGCGCATGGTTGGCGCACCAACACGAAGACAACGCTCAATCGACTGGCTAGGATCAGCCTGGAAGTGGGTCGCGGGATCGCCGGACAAAACGGATTGGAATGCCATCTTGAAAGAGGAGGACAGCTTGATTCGCATCAATACTAGGTTGTTCGACACAACACATGAGTCGCACCAGAAGTTGAACGACGTTATCGGGAGAGTCAACGCAATAGATGGGGACTTCCACGTGACGACGGCCGTTCTCCATAAAGCAATTATAATAGCGGACCAGGTCAATGAAATACTGAGGGCCTGCCAACTTGGAAAAACTGGAGTGGTCAACACGAATCTCAGGGACCACGACGAGGTCGACACAATACTGGCGGAGGTGGACAGCCTCCCTTATCAAAACGTTGTCGAAGCCGTCGAATTCTCTAAACCAACAATCCTGACAAACGGGACTGCTCTTTTGTACATCTTGGCTATGCCCAAGGTAGTGGATAGGAGGTACAGACTAATGAGGATCTACCCAACGATATCCGATGGGAAACAAGTTGTTCTGAAATACAACACATGGGCGATGGACCGCCTGGAAACATACGCCCTCCTCGGAAAGTGTATATCCATCGGCAACACAACGGTCTGCCGAGAAAAGGACTTGTTGAAATTGGAGGAGGACGGTTGCATACCTAACCAACTTCAATGGAACGATATCCACACCAGCCAAGAAGTACAAATTAGAGGGATCGTACGTCATAAAATTTGACAACGAAACAATCTCAATCGGCGACCGGAACTACAGCAGCTACTCATCAACACACCTTATGGCAATGCCCGCCGTGCTAACCCAGGTGAAAACAACGGGTTACGAGCTCTCGCTGAAATATGTCCACGAATTCAGCATGGAAAACCTAAAGAAGTTATCTGTGATGTCAGATGAGATTTGGATATCCTTTTCAGTGGAGATAGTCATAGCCCTCTCCATTATGATAACTGTATTCATCGTTTGGAAGAAGATAACGTCGACCAAAGGAATCCCTAAACTGCGGGACCCGCCTGCAAACCTGGAAGCGCAGGATACTCTGGAACCCGCAACCAAAGCCTAATAATCTGTAGGAGGAGAGGCGACAGCGCAGCGACAGAACGTCAACGGCAGAATTGCACCGGCAGAATTGCAACGGCAGTAGCGTGAGAATGGAAGAGCACTGACCGCCCGCTAGCTGCCTCAGCAATACCTGCCGCTACCCCTTCCCAACGCCGCGGCCAACCCAAAATGCAGAGCTAGCACTTGGAGGTTAGCAACACGTTGGCCCAAATATCCAGAACCGTTGCTATCAGCAGCGCGACAATGGAAGAGCACTGGCCGATCGCTAGCTGTCTCAGTCATAGCTTCCCCTACCCCTGCACACGGACGGAAATGCAACACCAGCACCTGGAGCTTAGCAACACTTTGGCCCAAAACCCACAAAACCGCTGCTGTCAGCATCGTCCTGCTGCAACCGCTCTGCCAGCGTTAGGCAGTCAACCTTATGATTTAGAATTACTTCGATTTGTACCCCCAAAGCCAGCAGACCATTATTATTTGCAACAATAAAACCATTGTAACGTATAAAAGCGATTACTGTTTTATTTTAAAGTAGCTTCGTAGAAAATAAAGATTGAGGTGTGAAAGAGAAGGATGAAGGGACTTGGAATTGGAAAGGCGAGGATGCAGATAACATTAACTAGGTAATATCCGGGGGAATACTCCCCCCTCTGGCCATGTCTGGCCATAACTTATATATTGTATGTTTAAACAAAGTTGCTTAGATTTTATCCAGGTCATTAGCCCGGCTCATATATCTTTTCTTTAAACATCTATTGTGCAGCTTATATATTTTAATATTTATAATTTATATTATGTTATATAAAAAAAAATATGCATCGCAGTGCAATCAAAAAAATATATGCAACGCAGTGCATGGGTTAATCCTGCGTCCTCTGCTGCGATGTTTCTTCTGATGCTCTTTCCGGTCCGCGTCAGCTGGTCGTCGCCGGCTTTGTTATGCTGACGCTCCCTTGAAGGCGCAGCTGGCGGTCGTGCCTCCCAAGCTTTGTATCTGCTGATGTTGTCCTAGGCCAATGGGCTCTGGCGGTGCCGGTGCTGGCTTCGCACAGGCAGCTTCTCCCACAGAGGTGTAAGGGGCGGATGGCCTCTCACACTAGTTGTTTTTGCCTGTGCATGTGTATTTACAGTGCACACTGCTTAGTGGCCCTTGTCACGGTCGCCATGAAATGTTTAAATGTCAGGATCGCCATGAAATATAAAACAAACTTGTTGTACTTGGTTTATTCTTTATTTCAGGGAGCAGGAGAGGTGCCGCCCCAATTGACGCTTGAATTGATTGTGTCTTTACAATATACTTTTAAGTCTAATTAAGGCAAAGTCTCGTTGCTGCGCTGCTCGCAGGCGGCGACAGAGAGACGGCTATATATGTACTTATGTATATAAACATACGCCCTCTTATGTGAGGAGCGCGAGGGGTATGCACATGCGGTCCGTTCATGCAATTATGCCGACGCTAGCACTTTCTGCGAGTGGCCTAAGCCATAGCAATCGGTTCATATTTCGGCCACTTGGGGTGTATGACCGGGACCATGAATTATGTAAACACTGCAACAAAGTGTTACAGTGCCTACCCTTTAAGTGGGTATTCAATATTAGTGCATACTACAGAGGTGACCGATGGATGCCCCTGTGAGGCGACCTGTGGATGCGCCCGTGAGGAGGGTGATGGATGCGCCTGTGCGGCGGTTGGTGGATGCGTCTGTGAAGTGACCGATGGGTGCGCCTGTGAGGCGGATTGTGGATGCGCCTGTGATGCGGCTTGTGGATGCGTCTGTGAGGCGACCGGTGGGTGCGCCTGTGAGCCGGGTGATGGGTGCGCCTGTGCGGCGGCTTGTGGATGCGCCCGGGAGGCGGCTTGTGGATGCGTCTGTGAGGCGGCTGGTGGTTGCGCCTGTGGGGCGGGTGATGGATGCGTCTGTTCGGGATATACTCCGCATTATTCCATCTCGTTTATTCTCTTATTCTTATTGTCTAAGCTCTTCATTATCTTTGCTCGCCATGTTATTGCTTATTAAAATTGTTTAAGAATCGAAGAGTTTAAAAAAATTTATTTTAATTCGAAAGAGGTAACGAATAATATAAAAAATAAAAAATAAACGAGTGTTATATTCCGAACGTATGCAAGAAAGGGACTAGTAAAATTTCGAAAAAACAAAATAAAATTAATATTTTATTTGTTAATTTCTTCGGCACTAATACGCCGCACGCATAAAATTTAAAGGATATCACAAGCTTAGCCAGAATACCGAAAACGCTGCGAAAAACAACAACAACTCTTGTACTTGTCCAACGACAGAAACGAAAATGCAAAGAGAGAGAGAGTCGAAAGAACTGGCAGCGATATCAGTGCGAGAGTGTGTATGTGTGGTATTCGGCCGGTGGCTCTCTCCTTTATAATATATGTAACGACACTTAGCGGAAAAGGATGCACTGGCCGATAAATAAAAGACAACGAATATATAAGTTAACTAAGTTAACCGGGCGACGGCAATGACCGATCGTCCGAAAGTTCACTCCGGCCAAATTGCTGACACAGCGTCTGGCCGGAAGCCCGTGCACAGCCGGCAAGCACTACCCATTGGAGTGGCCGCTATGAGTCTCTTTTTATGTTAGCTTTAAGTTCAGTTCAATTTTGATATTCACCGAATAAAAAGCACAAGCTCATTCAATATAACTCCGGCAACCGCCGTTAACATTTTATCATTTACAAACTGACTGAGTCTCTAGGCCAGCAGGTTAAGAAGGGCAGTCACCCTTCCATTCTAAACACCGTAATTCACCATTAGAGAGAAATTACTAACCGGACTTCTATACCGAGACAGCGGCGAGGGAACCTCCACTGTAAACTTAAATACTTAGAGGGAAATAACAAACCGGACTTCTGCACGGAGACAGCAGCGAGGGAACCTCTACAATAAAAATAACTAATTTATAAGCGGGATGGAAGTCCCAAGAAAATAGCGTTGAGGCTTGGAAAATGGCGGACGCGCGGCAAATTTAGGAAATTTTTTTGGCAACAGGTTACAGAAAAAAAAAGAAACGAAAACAAAATAAATCAATTATTTTTCTGTCTTGAAATTGAACCCTAAATTGGTGCTCATTACGAGATGTTGAGGAATTAAAACACAATTTGGGTCCACGACGAAATTAAATTTAACACCCAAATATAAAAAATGTTGTTAGACCATGCGAAATTTTATTTCTGTTAAATTATGTGTTAAATGCTCACTATCTACCGATTTTACACGAATGCAAAAAGTTGAAAGATGGTTGAAAGATATTAAAACTAAGATTGATGGTGTGAAAATTGTGGTTTACTGATGAGTATCTGAAGGGTGAGAGTTTCCCGAATTATTCTGGGGAATTCTCACAGAATTATTTGTGTTACGGTTACTGTGGCCTCCATTCTAGTTGCCACGGCCTCTTGAGTCTCCTCTATATCGGCCTCGTCCATTACTGTTATAGTTGGAACTGTTGTAGTTGTTGTAATTATTATTACGACTACTATAGTTTCCTCTGAAGTTTACACGTCCACTGTTTCCCCACGCTGTGAATAATTTTTTAAATAAAGGACAGTATTAGGTTGTCCAGTTGCTTCCATCAAAAACTGGTATCAGCTTGGATGCTGTATTTATGAAATCAATATTGGATTGCGCCATTGTGGTAAGGTTGCTTGTCTCGCTAGGAGTATCAGAATCTGTGTAACTATCTCTATAAGTATATACCGCTGGAATAGTAAAATTATTTAAATCTTCCTCTTCTATTTTGGGGTATACCTCTTATATTTTAATTCGTTTGTTTCAGCTGATTCTGGGTCAGGTGCAGTATCTACTGCTATGGGAGTGTTTAGAACATTCGGTATTACTATTTCTAAACTGAATTTTTGTTTAACCGATATTAAATTAGATCGTAGTCGTATCAGAAGTTTAGATACCTGAGACAATTGATCTTGATTCAATCTCTCCCCGTGACCATGTATTAGTATTCGCGCTTCGTTAAAGTTCTCTTTTAATATTTCAACATGTTTTCTGACTGTGTTCTTCTAGACTGGTCAAAATTTGCTTTGATATTGTTTATTTCTTTCAATCCATTATATCATGGGCATTGCGCTTAGTTTAGCCATTTTTTTTAAAATTATATCTGTATAAAATTATTTTTATTTTTTTTTATTTATTACATATATATTGTATGTTTAAGCAATGTTGCTTAGATTTTATCCAGGTCATTAGCCCGGCACATATATCTTTTCTTTAAACATCTACTGTGCAGCTTATATATTTTATAAAAGAAATTTGCGCACATTATGACAACAATGATTATTAAAAGTACATGTACTCAATATAAATCAATATTATTGGATTCTACTTTGTTTATGACATTGGCAGTGGAATCCACTGTATTTATATCCAAAGTCACTTTTGGAGGTGGTACTATACCTTTATGTTATAATTTGGAATATAATTATTGTTGTTTTCTATTGAGTATTTGCTTATTGCATTATCTTTTATCTATCTTTACAGGTTTCTACCTACTGTTTTGCATAGCCTTACGGGCTGCACGACTAATTGGGCAGAGATGGTTCCGCTCAATTTTACAATTTATATTATGTTATAGAAAAAAAAAATATGCATCGCAGTGCAATAAAAAAAAAATATGCAACGCAGTGCATGGGTTAATCCTGCGTCCTCTGCTGCAATGTTTCTTCTGATGCTCTTTCCGGTCCGCGTCAGCTGGTCGTCGCCGGCTTTGCTATGCTGACGCTCCCTTGAAGGCGCAGCTGGCGGTCGTGCCTCCCAAGCTTTGTATCTGCTGCTGTTGTCCTGGGCCTATGGGCTCCGGCGGTGCCGGTGCTGGCTTCGCACAGGCAGCTTCTCCCACAGAGGTGTAAGGGGCGGATGGCCTCTCACTGGATGCGTCTGTGAAGTGACCGATGGGTGCGTCTGTGAGGCGGCTTGTGGATGCGCCTATGATGCGGCTTGTGGATGCGTCTGTGAGGTGACCGGTGGGTGCGCCTGTGAGGCGGGTGATGGGTGCGTCTGTGCGGCGGGTGATGGATGCGTCTGTGCGGCGGCTGGTGGATGCGTCTGTGAGGTGACCGATGAAGAATAGCCTCGAGTTCGTGCTTTTTCCTGTAAGAAACCCAGGAGACACCCATGTAGTTGTTGTGTGTCCTGGCTGGTGTGCACGAGCGGCGATGCGTTGGTTTCCTTGAAGGATGAGTATCCTTGATAGTCCTGGCTGGAGTGCAGGGGCGGCGATGCGATGGTTCCCTGAAGGATGTGTATCCTTGATAGTCCTGGCTAGGGTGTAGGAGCGGCGATGCGTTGGTTTTCCTTGAAGGATGTGTATTTTTGATAGTCCTGGCTATGGTGCAGGAGCGGCGATGCGTTGGTTTCCTTGAAGGATGTGTATCCCTGCTAGTCCTGGCTAGGGTGCAGGAGCGGCGATGCGTTGGTTTCCTTGAAGGATGTGTATCCTTGATAGTCCTGGCTAGGGTGCAGGAGCGGCGATGCGTTGGTCTTTCCATGAAGGATGATAGTCCTGGTTAGGGTGCTGGAGCGGCAAAGCGTTGGTTTTCCTTGAAGGATGTGTATCCTTGATAGTTCTGGCTATGGTGCAGGAGCGGCGATGCGTTGGTTTCCTTGAAGGATGTGTATCCCTGCTAGTCCTGGCTAGGGTGCAGGAGCGGCGATGCGTTGGTTTGTCCTTGAAGGATGATAGTCCTGGTTAGGGTGCAGGAGCGGCGATGCGTTGGTTTTCCTTGAAGGATGTGTATCCTTGATAGTCCTGGCTATGGTGCAGGAGCGGCGATGCGTTGGTTTCCTTGAAGGAGGTGTATCCCTGCTAGTCCTGGCCAGGAATCAGGAGCGGCGATGCGTTGGTTTCCTTGAAGGATGTGTATCCCTGCTAGTCCTGGCTAGTGTGCAGGAGGGCCCTTGTTGCTTGCGGTTGGTGGTCGATGTCGTCCCTCGGGACTCCGTTGGTTGACTGATCCCGATTGTGTGTCGATGGCGACTTATATATCTCTGGTTCTGCCGGCGTCGGGCATCCTCCTCGGTAAGAAACGAGTTGTGCGAAAGGGATAGGGGAACTAGATATCTGATGGCGTGGATGCCGGCTGCGGCGACTACGTGGCTTAAGTTCTGCGGCTCTCTCTCTCCCTTTTTGTTCTGTGTTTATTTTCTTCCTCGCGTTCACGTGCTCGTGTGCGCGTGCGTATTGTGTTTCTACGTGTGACTTGCCTTTATCTCCACGTGGCTACGCTTCACTCTATCTCTCTCTTTCTTGCTCTGCTTTGCCCCGCTGCAAAACGTGCGTACACTCCTCTCCTTTAGTCCACAACCTCGAATTTTGACCTAAATCTCCCTGATGGTTCTTTACGCCATGAAGGGTGGAATTATCCTGCCTAGTCATGCCTAGTCCCTGTTCGGGTGCCATCTGTAAGGATGCTAATCACGGGCCGGGATATAAACTTCAGTCAGCCTAGGGTCCCCTACAGAAATATTTGTAAATACTGAGACAGGCAGGAAAAGGGATGCGAGATGTGTGTGTGAGGTGGGTTTTTCGAGGGGGGGAGTCGGGGTTTTCTCGGGCGGCCGATCCCGTCACCCAGGAATCGGTTCCGTCAGCCGGAGACCGCTTCCCCGTCCGTTTTCTAGTGACTGGGTTTTAGGAGAATAATTGGGAGGCGAATAGTTCTTTTAATGTTCCTGGCATTTTATTTACAAAGTCCTCCACCACTGGCATTCCACAGTTGAAATTGGCCGTCTAACTGCTCCTCCTCTCCGGGATTACGATTTCTCTCGTTCAACTCACAAAACCGACTCTCCGATCGGCGGGCGGCGGGAGCTGCTCGAGGCCCTTCTCTGCTGCCGACCGCGGCAGCGGCCCTTTCGCTGTCTTCGTGCGAGCTGTCGTCGTTCTCTTCTCTCTAGCTTTACTGCGTCGTCGACACGTGGTGTGATCGTGCGCGTTTTTTGGCTCTGTCGATGTGATGTTGGCTCTGCCGGTGTAATGTTGGCTCTGCCGGTGTGATGTTGGCTCTGCCGGTGTAATGTTGGCTCTGCCGGTTGTGATTGCGCTGTGGGCGCGATGTGCCCAAGGCGTGGTGATGTTGCGGGCGGGCGTGGTGTTGCGGAGCGATTGTTGCGGGCGTGATGTTGCGGGTGCGATGTTGTCCGGCGGCGAAGGCTAACGGGCTTTCGCTAAGCCTTAGCTATGTATGTACAAGTGCCGTTTGTGGGTCTTAACTAACGTAAGTCTAATTGCCCTCCATGGGTCTAAACTAACTTAAATCTGAGTGCCCTTCGTGGGTCTTAACTCTTCCTTAAATTAACCTAAATTCTAGCTTACGGACTACTCTTAACTAAATATCTCTATTTCTAGGGGCAGCGGGCCGCGTGAGGGTTACCTCACACCACATATAATTGCTATAAGAAGGTGAGGATCAAGCATAGCTATTCTAGCCACCTTATCGCGCTATACGCGGAAAACTGTGACGTTCATAATATTAAAATTTATTTTTATTTTGACCTTGTAAAACATTTTTATTCGATATCTAATAATGTACCAAAAGTGTTTTAAATCTGAATTTTATTATGTAGGGTTTAAAGTTTTACATGTTCAGGGAGGAAACATCAGTTATTAAACATACTTATATAAGAGGTGGCGCTTTGACAATTTCTGCTGGTAATTTTGAATTTAGATAAGACAGTTTACGGGTATCTTATAGTTGCGGGACTCGACCAACGCGTTACTGGTTGTTCTTTGCAAGAAGTCAGGCCCTACATATTTGTCACAGAGACAACTGAAGCTTTAAGGAAATTGTATTTAACAATAATATAAGTTTGCTAAGTTAACCGGACAATAAGTCTGCAACGGGATCTTTGCTGACCCAGCATTGGAGCATGTTAACATGCGAACAGACGACTGAAAGTTTTTTCACGATATCAATCCATAAGTAATTAAATATATTAATAAGCGATCAAATAATGGTTCTTTCCCACTATAAAACAAGAGGAAACGCTATAGTCGAGTGCCGTGACTATAAGATACCCGTTACTGTTTTACACAATTTTAAAATATTAATTTTGCTAGTGGAAATTCACAAGGCGCCACCTATTGTCAGAGGAAGTATGTTGAGTATGCTTATAGTGACGTCACTGCCCATGTGGAGCCTTATAACCTTAATTTCTTCATAAATAGCGAAATAATGTTCCGATTTGAAAAATCTTTTGTTAATCGATAGATATTAATAGAAATAAGTCACACAAGGTCAAACGAAGGCATTCATAATAATATTATAGACTCCACAGTTTTCCGCGGTTTGTGGGCGTTACAGTGGGCGTGGCCGGATGCAACTTCGTGGCAAGTTGCAGAGGCATCTCCTAAATACGTGTTCCTAAGCAAAATTGTGTAGCTTTTATAGTTTTTGAGATTTTTGCATTTTTGGTTTTTCGGGTTTTGTGGGCGTTAGAGTGGGCGTGGCGTGATCGGAAAAAAATAATTCGCATTGGGAGCATCATAGAAACATACATGCTTGATCCGAACTTTCTATCTCTTATAGTTACCGAGATATCAGCTTTTCTAGAAAATCCGAAAACCGTCTTTTGAGCCTTGTGGGCGTATGGGTGGGTGTGGCCGGATAGTAGTAGCACTATAAGATACGATGTCATATTAAGATTATACTTTCTGAACTTCAACTTTCTATCTGCAATAGTTCCTGAGATTTTAGCAATTTTAGTTTTTTGCCATTTGTGGGCGTTAGAGTGGGCGTGGCAGGATGCTGTAATAAACTTGCGCTGTCCCGGGACCTCAAGAATCTTCATGCCTAATCTCAGCTTTGTATCTGCTATAGTTCCTGAGATCTCAGCGTTCATACGGACGGACGGACGGACGGACGGACGGACGGACAGACGGACATGGCTCTATCGACTTCGCTATTGATCCTGATCAAGAATATATATACTTTATAGGGTCGCAAAAGCTTCCTTCTATCTGTTACATACTTTTCAACGAATCTAGTATACCCTTTTACTCTACGAGTAACGGGTATAAAGAAAGCAATTTTTGACGAATCCAATACAAGTAAAAACCAAATAAAAACGTGTTGCTTGCATAAGATAAAATCGTTAAACACTGTACCAAACAAACAATTCAAAAACAATACAATATTAAAACTTCGGAAAGGACAACAGGGACGGACCAAAGGCGGAAGTTAATCTACTAGGACATTTGAAGAAAGGTAAATAACATAAATAATGTGAGTGGAATCTTGAAATAACATTCATCTTAAACGTCTGCAACAAATTATTAATAAATCAATTTCCTATTGTAGCGGAACGGATTAGGGATATCGATAGTTAGTAAAGTTTAAATTTATCGCCGCTAGAGGTCGGTATTTTTGTGTGAGAATTTGAGGATCGTGTTTTCGCTTACTCTAAACGGGTCGAATGAATCGAAAAACCAACACTTCAGGTGCGAAGAAAAGGACTCTATTTTCTGAAGCACACCATTAGGCTCTGTTGTAGCGATCAGAGTTAACGCCGACTTGTGTAACTCCATAGACACAACTTCTGAAGCTGGTTCGAAGTGAGAGTTTATAGGCCAATTGCTTTCTGAGTCGAGTAAAAAAGATAGCCGAGCGAACTAGATGGATGTGCTCTTCAATGTCGGATCCTCGAGGCACTATATCCGCTGGGATCACTTTCGTATGGACGTGTCGCCAAATAGCTTTCTCCGACCACTCTTGGATTTCCGCTACTCGGTTTGAGACGAAAACGGCCGAAGATCTGCTAAAAGGTGTGCTACACACAGCTCAAGGCGAGGCCAAGTTTTCGTCTTTAGGAGAGCCACTTTTGATTTGGCTGTCAGTAATGACACTTTTAAACCTTCAGCAGGTTGAGTGCCAACGTAGATGCACGCTCCATGTGCTCGCTGGAAGCGTCAGCGAAACCGTGTATCTCAATCGGAACCTGCGGATCTGTGTGAACGAATCGCGGTACCATAACATTGGGCAGTTGAAGAAAAATTGCCTTAAAGGCTTCCCAAAGGCTTCCTTTTTGTCGCACGAAGATCCAGGAAAGAGTCATCCAACCGAAATTAAACTTAATCTTTTCTAGGTAACCAGACCACTCCAAAGGTTTTGGTTACGTCTGCAGAGATGCGGAGATCTCTGGGCGGTTTGAAATTCACTTTGCCAATTCAAAACCTGCCTCTTGCAAAACCAGAGAATCTTCATCACGAAGACTTTGCAGGTTCTCAACGAAGT